CAAGTATTATAATACTATACTAGACATGGGATCATGTGAGACATGGTTGTTTTCATGAGAAACACGAGACAACCTTTTTTACACTTGAAACTTCACAGCAAAATATTTAAGATTGAACTGTTATTAGTTTATTTAATGTTTATTAGAAGGATACCCGCGCAATGTAGCGAGATACATCTTGATTTTAATATTCCATTTTATTTTTTTATCTCAACGATGTTATATTATGGTCTTATGTGGTTTTGAAAAAACGATAATTTTTTTATTTTTGAATAAAATATAAATTTGAAGATATCATAAAAATTTGACAAAAATATATCGCTATTACTATCAATTAACTATTTAAAATTCATATTTTTTGTGTAATTTTTAATTCAAATTTTTTATTATAATTTAATTTAGGTTCAACAACGAAATAATTTATATTTGGTTTAATAATATAATTTTATTATAAAGATAATAATTAATTATTTTGTTAGAACTCTATAATTATCCTAATTATATTTTAGATTTTTTTTATTTTAAAATAAGATGTTTATCCTCTATTTAATTATGTTTATCCACAGTTGGTTACACTAATTCAAACATGGAGTTTTAATAAGTTGTACTTATGCATAATTTACTTGTAATCTTGAATTTTAAGTAATATGCATCAATATACAATACTTTATGCATAAAAAATAATTTTTAAGAGTTTTTGTCAAATACTTTATAATATAGTATAAATATAGATAAAATATATTGGACACGATAAAATCATTGAATATTTATAATATTAAAATATCTAAAATATAGAATCAGTTAGAGTTAAATGTAATATTAGTAAGAATTTAACTTTTATTCCTTTATTTTAGAGAAATTACAGAATGATCTGTTGAAGATTTTCCAAGTTATTAGTTTTCAGAAATATTTTGCAGTATTTGTAGGCCTGAACGCTTAATTTGTATTTGAACATGTTTATCAGTTGTTATGAGTTAGTTTTATAAAGTTTAAACATATTAACAAATTATACATAATTTAATATTAAGTTGTAAATATTGTATCAATATACGCACATAAATATACCTGTGACTAAATTCTGAACACTGAGTTTAGAAATTGCAAAAAAAATATATATATATATTGATATGTGTATCAAATTACAGAAAGCCGAAAGACAGTTCCGTTTGTTTTATTGAGGTAAATATGTGGAGTTTTAGAACTTGAGCTGTTAATATGGAAACTGAGTTTCAGAACCTTTCGAATTTTCAATCTTATTGTTTACAAAATGGTAAAATAAGAATATTATAAAAATTAAAATATTTTGTATGCATTATTGATTTGTACTGTGCTAACACCGGTAGTTTTGAAAACTTAATAGTTTTAAGTGATAAAACATAAATATTCATAATAATACTGTGTGTGTATATATATATATATATATATGTACACATGTATATATATATACACACACACTACAAAGGTACTCGCATAATATAGCGAGATATATATATCTCAAATTTATTGTTCTGT